AAGAGTTGACTGGGAGAGATGACTGTACAGAATCAGTGTCCACAGGAGTAGTAGAAGATCCAAAAAAGAGAACTGATTCAAAAAAGGAAACATCTGCCGAGATAAAGTATCGACGTAAAGTTGGAGAGTAGCAACGGTAACCCTTTTGAGACCGAGGATAACCCAGAAAAACACATTTATGAGACTTGGGAGCTAATTTATCCAAACCTGGACCAAGATGATGAACAAAACATGTAGAACCAAACACATGTGGGGTCAAAGGATATAAAACTTGATGGGGAAATAAAATAGAGTGAGGTACCTGATGATTGAGAACAGATGATGGCATGCGATTAATGAGATAGCATGCAGTAAGTATAGCATCAACCCAGAATGTGTATGGAACATTGCCATCAATTAACAAAGCACGAGCGGTTTCAACAAGATGATGGTTCTTGCGCTCGGCTACACCATTTTGTTGGGGTGTATGAGGGCAAGATGTTTGATGAAGAATGCCATGAGATGAAAAGAATTGTTGAAATTGATGAGATAAATACTCACATGCATTATCACTACGAAAAGTACGAATAGGAATACCAAATTGAGTTTTTATTTCACTATAGAATAACTGAAAAATAGAAAATAACTCAGACTGATTTTTCATTAAAAATAACCAAGTACATCTGGAATAATCATCAATAAAAGTAACAAAATACATAAATCCTAAAGTAGAAGAATGACGACTTGGTCCCTAAATATCAGAGTGGACCACAGAAAAAGGAGAGACAATTAGACGACTAAGACGACTTGGGAATGTACTACGAGTATGTTTCCCAAACTGACAGGACTCACAATTTAAATTAGAAAGAGACGATAAATGTGGAACCATCTTCTGAAGCTTTGCAAGACTAGGATAGCCCAGACGAGCGTGTATAGTAAGAGGAGAATCCACAGTGGAGCAGGCTGAAGAAGAAGGAAATAGTTGATAGAGGCCCTGAGACTCACATCCTTTGGTAATCTCCTTCTCCTAACTCCGATCCTGAAAGATGACAGAGGTTTTAGTAAAAGAAACAACACAGTCAATGGATTTTGTTAAACGACTAACAGAAAGTAAGTTAAAAGGAGAATCTGGAACTTATAGAACATGATCCAAAGATAAATGAGGTAAAAGAAGAACCGTGCCAATTCCACGTGATTGGACCAGAGACCCATTGGCCATAGTAATAGTGGGAAAAGAACCAGTGGCACAAAGGGAAGTGAATAAGACTTATTACCAGAAATGTAATCAGAAGCCCCAGAATCAAGAGTCCAAGGGCTTAGAGAGTGTAGCTGAGAGATTCCAGCAAAAGAATTACCAGTGGGAGCAATGGATGCAGTAGGATCTGATGTTTGCTTCTCAGACCACCATGTCATAAACTCATTAAGAAGAGCAGTTGGAGGTTGTGCCAGGGAAGGTAACCCTGGAGCATAGATACTAGAGGAAGCCTGAGCAACATGAGCATCAACGCAAACATCAACGCAAAAATCAACTAACCGGTAGAAGAGGGATCTATGCATCAACGCAAAACGAGGTCCAAACACAAAAACAAGACCAGATCTAGAAATGTCGCAGTAAGATGAGAAGAACGCAACCAGCCACGGCCGGAGATGAGGCTCCACGCACCGCCATGCGCTGCCTGTTGGAAGAGAGTGTCGTAGCTTTCACGCACGAGTGTGACCGTGCGGCCGGAGACGAGCACACCGGTATGTGGTTCGCCGGAAAACTCCACCGGACGGTGGTGGTTGACGGAGTAGAGGCTTGAATGCGGAAGGAAACGTCCGGAAACTGACAACGAGACAGTTCCGGAAAAAAAATTTAAAAGACGATGAATAGTGGGTTCACCGAAAAAAAATTCAAGGTTCCTTAGGCTCTTGATACCATGTTAAATAACAAGAAAAGATAGGAACATTGAAATAAAACTGTGTGTATTGAACTGATGCAGGATGCACAATATTTAGACATACTAATAGGCTTAGCCCAGACCTAATGCAAATCCTAATGAAATAAGGAAATAAATATTTACAGATATACAAAAGATATATTCTTTCTAACAGAATCACTTATATTCATATTTTTTTAATACTACTCCTTATATTTTTTCCGTCCAAGTCCATTTTTAACATTGGTAGAAATTTAATTAATCTATTTATTTTATCCTTTTTAGAATAAGCCAATAAACTGTTGACAAAAAATAAAAAAATAAAAGTAGATATGGTGGAACTTATAATAGTGATAAAAAAGAATAAAATTAGAAAAATAAAAATAATCTAAATTCGAAAGGAGAAGATATATTGAAGAAAAAAATAGAAGAAAAATAAGACCAAAAATAAAAAATAAAAAAGAAATAGAAGAAAAAGAAATATGTAAGTTTCCAACATATTTGGTTTTATTTTTTCTTTTAATTTTTTTCTTTTTTGTCCTTATACTATTTTCTTCTTTTTGATTTACATATATTTTATCTTTTTTCTTATATATATTTTTTTACTTTTGTCTTTTCTATCATTGTTAAAAGAAATGAAAGAAAAAATAAGGCAAAAAAGAAATAAAAGAATAAGAAACCAGTTTGTAAAGGAAAAAGCGTTTGCTATTTAAAGAATATAATTTTATGTTATTTTAAAATAAAATGATATCATTTTGATACATAATTGGTAATTGTTTACATTCGTTCCTAATTTTATGTAAGAGAGAGAATGCAAAAATTATCAATTATACATTAAAACTGCGTCACATTTAAAATGATACAAAATTGTATCTTTTAAAATCACAAATATTTTTTTTGTTTATAAATTTCCTTCTATTCTTTTTTTTTGTCATATAAGTATATTCTCTTATTCTAAAAATGATATAATAGATAGATTAGTTAAGTTTTTAACAATAGATTTGGATAAAAAAATAATAGGAGAATAAATAAATAAAAAAGAAGTTGTTTGAAACCGATTGAAAATCATAACCGATTGCACCGTTTCAAATTCTCTCTTTTACGTTGTTAAAATAACTGTCATCTGTCGAACGAATGAAATGATGAGCATGAGCGCTATGAGCGGTCAAGGTGAGCGACGTCCAGGTTCTTCACCGGAAAAGTCCGTGGAAAAGGAAGACTTGCTTCGTAGGAGTATTAAGAGGGAGATGAGAGATTCTCCAACTCCATGTCAATGGTTCCACGTCAGGAACCATGGATGAGGGAGGAGACTCGACCACAAAATAAATCGTGGAGAGAAATGCTACTGGAGCATAACGGGAAACAAGATTGTGATGAGGAGTTTGGGATGGAGAAAGAGGAGTGTGATTTTAATGAGGGTGATACGGAAGATGGAGCGAACGAATGGGGAATAAAATGTATGGTGGAAGAGGATGGAATGCTCCATTTCTCTTGTACTCAGAAAGCATACCAGAGGATGAGAAGTGTCTGGAAGTTAGCCCTGATAGTTAAACTTCTAGGAAAGAAGGCAGGAGTGACTTTCATGAAGAGAAAACTGGAGATGCTCTGGGCGCAGCGAGGTTCCATCACAGTGTGTGATATAGGGAACGATTACTATGCGGTGCAATTCACAGCAAAGGAGGATATGGTTGTTGCATTAAAAGGCGGCCCATGGATTATTCTAGGGCATTATCTGTCCCTTAGAACTTGGGTTCCTGATTTTAACCCATATGCACATACCATTACTAAGATTGCAGCATGGATTCGATTGCCTGGCATTCTGATGGAGTACTATGAAGGTCCATTTCTGAAGGAGGTTGGGGATAAGTTAGGGAGGACCCTACGAATTGATAGAACTACAACTAATCTGTCTAGGGGGAGATATGCTAGATTATGTGTGGAGTTAGATCTTTCTCAACCTTTGAGAGCGACTTACAGATTAGAAAGGAGGCTTAAACAGATTGAATATGAAGGATTATATTTAATATGCTTTGCGTGTGGTCGTTATGGGCATAGTAAAGAGCAGTGTCCATCTAATTGTGGGGATATTGTATTGGAGAAGCGTCAGGATGAGGAAGTGAATTCAGATAATCCACAAGGAGGAGGGAAGGAGAAAGAGGTAGATAAGGCACCATCGTCACTTGGGCCTTGGCTGGTGGTTCAGAGGCAGAGAAGGGCACGACCTCAACCAGCGGTTTCGTCGAATTTGAAGGGAAAGGCAGTTATGAGTGCTAATGCTGTAGCGGTTTCATGGAAAGGAAAGACGTGTACGAATGCAATTGATGCAACAATTTCATTAAAGGGTAAGGCAGTTACAAATTCTGATACAAAGACATATGGAAAGACAAATGGCAAGGCTAGCCACGTGGTAATGAATAGGGCAAGAGGAGGCATTTCAAAAAATTTAAACTCGGAAGCATCTGATGATGGTGTTATTGTTAGTATGGGGCCCACTTATGTTAAAAAATCTGAGGCAAGTACAACATTAGTGCAGAAGGTTCATGGAAGAGGTAGGAGAGAGAAAATACAACTAGTTGAGGATGAGAACCGTTTTATGCTTCTAGGGGACAAGGATATCCAACATGGAAGGGAGGATGAGATAAATGAGAATGGTGATTGTGAGAAACTGAACTACGCCATGGAAGTAAATGAGCCTATGTCTGATAATATATCCAAAGGTGGGATGATGAATGAGAAGGTGGTGGAAGAGGTATCCCAAAGCCCAGAGCATTTTGGGATGGATGTAGATAAGACTAAGGAAACTCTAGAGAGGGCAAGGAATACAAAGGACCAGCCTTTAGCTAATCTTCATGAGACTGGTATTCCCAAAGTTCCAGATTCTTTGTCAGAGTTCCAGATGGTAGAAGAAACTCAGTATAATCAAGAGATGATGATAGACTCAGGCCAGCAACAGATTGAGGGTTGTGTAGAGGAAGGTCCAGGTACCCAACAAACTTGGAATATCCACACTAGTTTTTAATGAATTTTTTCGTTTGGAATTGTTGTGGAGCGGCAAAGAAACGTTTTCGAAGCACTATGTCAACTTTTATTAGAAAATATAGTATGGACTATGTTGTCATATTAGAGCCTAGAGTTAGCGGTGTCAAGGCTGCTAGAATTATCAAATCAATGGGGTTTTCAAACCATTACATTGAGGAAGCATTTGGGTTTTCTGGGGGTTTATGGTTACTTTGGAATCATGAGAAGCTCTCTTTGGATGTAGTTGATAGCAGTTACAAACATATTCATTGTAAGGTGGAGTTGCCTGAACAAGTTCCATTCCTGTTTACAGCAGTATATGCTAATCCTCGTATTGAGAAAAGGAAGGAGTTGTGTGATAAATTTCGTCTCATTAGTCAGCTGCATTCTGATCCGTGGCTTATTGCTGGTGACTTTAATGAGATAAGTTTGAGTGAAGAGAAGCGTGGTGGGGCTCCAGTGGATACTAGTCGCATTGCCTCTTTTGTCGAGGTCTTGAATAATTGTAGCATGATTGATCTAGGGAGTTCTGGTCCCTTTTTTACTTGGAGAGGGCCTAAGTTTCTACACCTGGATCGAGTCTTTAAGCGCCTTGACCGTGCATGTGCAAATGGGTAATGGCGAATAGCGTATGAAGAAGCAGTGGTAAAGGTGCTCTGCCTAGAGTTACATCGAATCGTAATCCTCTTTTAATCTCGCTCTTCAGTAAACGGGATAAGCCGGAGGAACGACCTTTCAGTTTTTTTCCAGCTTGGCTTGATCATCCAGGTTTTAACCAAGTTCTGTCAAAATAATGGAAGAATGATGCGCACACCAATTGTAATTTGATGGAACTTACTCAGGTCCTTAAGGATTGGAATAGGAAATCTTTTGGTAATATTGAGTATAGGAAGAACAAAGTTCTCAATCGGTTGCATGGTATCCAGATGAGGTTAGATGCTTGTCCCAACCGTTATTTAGAGAGACTTGAGAAGAAGCTAAGGAGAGAGCTTGAAATTATCTTGGAGCAAGAAGAGCAGTTGGTATCAGAAGGGCAGAACTGCTTGGATTGTTGACGGAGATCGAAATACGAAATATTACCATGCTTTAACAGTAACGAGGAGGCGTATAAGCAGAATTACAGCTCTTAAAAATGAATCAGGTGTGTGGTTAAGGGATGAAGAGGCTATCCGTAGAATGGTGACTCGATTATAACAAGTTCTTTTTTCAGAAGAGGTGCAGGAAAGGCCTTGGGAACAAACTTTGGTTACTTGGCCAAAACTGGAGGATCATGAAGTCAGAGAGCATTAGGAAGACCATTTGTACATGCTGATATTACAACAGCATTTTTTCAAATGGGAGCCCACAAAGCACCTGGTCCTGATGGATGCCCAGCGGCGTTCTTGCAGAAGAGTTAGAGTTTGGTGGGTAATTGAGTGTGTGAAGATATTCAAGATTGTATTCGCCATACTGATAAAATTAGGAGTATAAATGAGACCTTTATTGTGCTTATTCCGAAGGTACTAAAGCCAGAAAAAATAGGGCAACTAAGACCAATTTCTCTCTGCAATGTGTTCTATAAGGCAATAACTAAGATGCTTGTCAACAGATTGAAACCTATCATGAGTAAGCTAATTTCTCCGTTTCAATCTAGTTTTGTTCCGGGTCGTGTTATACATGACAATGTGATTGTTGCTAGTGAAATGACTCAATCCATGAGAAGATTAACAGGGAAGAAAGTGTACATGTCTATAAAGATTGACCTAGAAAAGGTTTATGATAGACTTAGTTGGAAATTCATTTGCAGTGTCCTTCAGGAAACTGGCCTTCCGAGCTGGATTGTGGATATTATCATGACTTGTATCTCTTCCACTCAGTTTCAAGTTTTGTGGAATGGATCAAAATCAGATAAGTTTGTGCCATCGAGGGGCATCAGACAAGGGGACCCCATCTCACCCTATGTCTTTGTGCTATGTATGGAAAAACTTACTCATCTTATTGCTGAGGAAGTTAGAAGTAAGAGGTGGAAACCCATGAAGACAGGGAGACGTGGCCCACGTGTCTCACATCTCATGTTTGCAGATGATTTGGTGCTTTTCGGAGAAGCATCACTGTCTCACCTAGAGGTGATTCAGAGTTGTCTCAACAAGTTTTGTGCTATGTCCGAACAAAAGGTTAGCATGGAAAAAACAATTATTTATTTCTCCAAGAATACAGGTGAAGGAATTAAGCAGGATATTCTCAAAGCTAGTGGGTTTCACCAGGCTAACTCTTTGGGTATGTATCTTGGGGCGATGCTGAATCATGGGCGTGGAAGAAAGCATAATTATGATAAAGTTTTAGATAAAGTTAGACAACGCCTTGCAGGATGGAAACGTCAATATCTTTCCTTTGCAGGGAGGGTTACATTAGCAAATTCTGTGTTGAGTACGATCCCTATGTATCATATGCAACATGATGTGATTCCTTCTTCAATTTGTAATGAATTAGAGAAGATTCAAAGAGGTTTTATTTGGGGGGATTCTGATCTTAAGAAGAAAGCTCATCTTGTGTCTTGGGGGCAGATTTGTCGTCCTAAGAGTTTGGGGGGACTAGGTGTGCGTAAGATTCAAGTTCAGAATGAAGCTTTCCACATGAAGTTAGTTTGGAGAATGTTGAGTCAACCGGATAACTTATGGTCTTAGGTCTTTGTTGGTAAGTGTAACACCTCGTATATATCCGGTAATGTTATCATAATATCGTATTAAGCTGCGCTTAATTAAAAATGCGGAATTACTTTTTCTTTTCAATTATGATGCCATTAACATTACCAACTTGCTTAATAATCAATTAATAAAACATCGCCTGTATGTAATTGCAATAAAACAGCTAACTGAAATACCTCTTAACATAGATAATATAAGTGTGGCTCTAGTCACGGAACTACAACAATGTAGACCGGACCATTTAACAGTTTATATAACTCCAATCTAAGAGTACTAACAGAAAGTGTCATGGACAAACCTCATGCTCACTCAAATAAGGCAACATGCCCAACATCAGTCTCAACAACAACATATCATAAATAGCGGAAAACATAAACAGCATCCAAATCCAGTCATGCTAACATAAAGCAGTAAAACATAATCAGCTAAGCTCCGGCCTCCTGCCGCCTGAGGGATCAGTACCCATACTACCTGATCCTGAAATAAGCATTCCCCAAACGTGGGGTAAGATCTCTAATCTAGAAATCTCAGTAAGTCAGTGAGTCCTCAAGGATCTTCCACCCCAAGCTCACTTACATGTGCAATGTAAGTTTAAAAGCAGTTTATCATTTATCATTTCTAAAAAAATGCAATGCAGCAGATAATCATGCCATGTGTGTCAATACTAATCTACTGGCCAGAGACTGTGCAGGTATACGTCTATCACCTACACATTGTGCAAGTACCACTTGCATTCACCCCGGTACACCGTCTTGTATGGCGCTACATACTCAGGCTTCCCGTCAAGATGAAACAACACATGCATATTAAAAGCCATTACATGTAAAGTTCAATCAACATATCAAATATCCAAAAGCATGTACACAGCATGCATAAACCATACCCCCATGGGACATGGTGGAACCACAACATGGCTAAATCAAGGACACGAAAGCTTACCTCTAAGCTAGCTATCCAATGCCACAAGCTCAAAGTCCAATCACAACAGATCACAATCTGATATGGACCAAATATAAATAAATAACATGTACCACATGCATACAAATTAAAGACAACGCCTTTTCATTACGCTTTATGTCTTAAGGCTTCTAACCAAGCCATAAGCCCTTAATCACTTGATTCTGACTTAGTTTAATTAAAACAGAAGTTCAACTTCATCAATCTAGGGTCCACAAACCCCCAATAGCCTACTGTCCTCACAACACAGCTACTGTTCTTCGAAATCCCAGAATATCCGGATATTCCTCGGGACCATATCCGGATATTTAATATCCGGATATCTCACTGTGCATATCCGGATATCCAATATCCGGATATCCAGAATCTCATATCCGGATACCAAATATCCGGATATCCAAAACCCCATATCCGGATATCACATATCCGGATATTCATCGAGCAGATATCTGGATATTTCACGACAGAATGCAGTTCTGCATTTTCGTGAAGATATCCATCCAAGGTTGGGTTTTTAACGATTTAAAGCACCTAAACATGCATCTCTAGGTGTGTTCAACATTACCCAACAACAAGTTATCATCTTTAAGCCTTAACATGCATCAAGCTTTCATTTTTAAGCATTAAACTCATAATCAAAGGTTGGTATACATACCAAAGGCCAAAACAGAGGGTCAACTGCTCATGAAGCTCCCAAAACAGCTTCAACAGCTACTGGGAATATGGTGTACGAAAATGCTACACCAAGACTTGACCTTTGTACCCAAAGGTTGCTTCTTTAAGCAACAAAATGCCCAACTCAAGCTTCCACAACCAAGCTAACCAAGTCAGCCCCAAAACTCTCACCAACAGTGGCTGAGCACTCAGAGAAAAGCACCCTTCTCCCTCACCAAGCTCACTCTCAAGTGTTTACAAAGGAAGAATGAAGGAAAAACAAGAAAGGAAGTGCCTTGGACCCAAAATAGAGAAGAAACCCCACAAGTCAGCCAAGCTGATCAGCCACCCTCAACTCTCACGTTCAAAATCTGTTTTCTAGGGCATTGTGCCCTTAGAAATGGGTATTTATAGCCACAAGTCACTTAAACACACAGTATTAACTTTAATTGCTACGCTTAGCATTTTAATCCCAAGCTTTGGATTGTGAAACTACATAATTTTCTAAGATTTATCATATTTTTCTTATAATTTTCTGAGCACCTTTCCGGTACGCGCTTTTCCAAGCCAGTACCGGTTTCTAGCACCAGTTCTCATTATCTGGACTTGAAACTCGTTTTACAAGTCCTACATATTATTCTAGTAATTAACATGTACTTACTTTAATTTTCCGGGATAATTTTTCGGTACTCATTTATACCGACTAGCAGAACCGGTATCTGCACTTTTCTTCCGAAAAGCGACTTTCAGCAATATTACCCACTTACTATAATTATTAAAGCCTCATAATAATTATTAGGGCCAATTATGGAATCATTTCCTATTTTCTCATAATTTATTAATTAAATTCCTTAATTAACGGTGCGGGTTCTTACATTCACCCCACCTTTTTAGGATTTTGACCTCAAAATCAGAAACATACCTGGTCGAAACTCGGGGTACTGCCGGAGAAGCTCGTCCTCACGCTCCCAAGTACACTCCTCAGGAGTCCTTTCGGTCCACTGCACCTTGACCATCAGAATGATCCTGCTCCTCAGCTACTTCTCGCCACGATCGAGAATCTTTAGTGGTCCTACGGGAGTCTTTAAGTTCACCCGAACTTCCACATCATCCGGTTGCACCACGTGCGACGGATCTGCTATGTACCTCCGAAGCTGAGACACGTGGAACACGTCGTGGATGTTGGCCAGGTTCGGAGGCAATGCAAGCCGGTAGGCAACAGGTCTTACTCTACCAAGAATCTGGTATGGCCCAATAAACCGCGGGCTCAGCTTTCTCACTCCGAGTTCCCGTCCAACACCCGTGACAGGTGAAAGTCTCACA